ATATATATATATATATATAAATGTGTGGGTTGCTTATTGTGAGACCCGTTCCTATTTTCTTTTTCCTACTCCTTTCACTCTCCTCTTATTTTCTCCCTCTCAACTTTCACTCTTTTACTTTGGATCTTTCTCTTTGGTTGTCACAAGGTGGTGGTGCTGAGTGAGTTGGGTTTGTTAGCTGGTGTTCAGAGTTCTCTCTTCTCCTTTCCGTGTTCGTTCGAGCTCTTCTTCGTCTTCTCTTTCGTTCTCCGCAGTCCCAAAGCTCGGATTGTCGTACCGAGGTAAGGGAAGCTAGGACTTCTTGTTGATTGTGTGTTGTAGTGAGCTAGGACTCACGAATTTCTGAGATTTCCAAGGATTTTGAGCTATTTTGGATGAAAACTCATATTTTGGGGTTTTCGGGTTTTTGAAGAAAATTTGGGTTTTTCTTGGATTTGAAGTTGCATGTTGAAAATGAGGTGTTTTTCTTGATGTTTGATGAAAATGTGGACTTTTGGATGAATTGCATGCTGGTACGGCCTATTTCAATTTTGAAACGGCCCGTTCCGGGCCACGAATTGGGCCTTCGGCCCACGAAAAATGGGCTGTTACACCCACATTCTCAAGCGTGCCCGGCGCACTCATCCTAGTTCTAGTTGGTTAGCAAGATACCTTGTCTTCTACCACCACTTGCACCTATGCTCGCAACACGAACGATGCCACACAACCACTACTTCTTAAGAAGTACCAAAACAATTAAGCAATCATGAGAATAACAAAGAGCAATCAAAAATAGCATCATCAAGTTATATCATATCTATTAGAAAAATCCTGAGAACACAATGCACATAATTAAATAAACAACAACATAATCAATCATCACATTAGCACATGAATAAGTTAAACAATCAATTCATCACATTATCAATCTACAAAACAAGCATAGTAGACTCATAACTCACGGCCGATTGGATCGACTTGCTCTGATACCGCTAAATGTGACACCCTTACTACCCCAACACATATATAAATATTAATCATGTAAATAAACTTAAAGAATAAAATTTTCAACGTTGGTAAAAGAGTTCACATAAAACTTCATAACTGTTCTTTCTTCAATGTCCAAAATAACTAGAAATAAAACTTAGAAATTAAGTAAAATTTAAGAGTTTACAAATCGTTTTCAAAAGACAAGATATAACTCAAAATACATATAAAAATCTATATCCTAGAATTTTCTGCCCCGATGTCACAATATCAGAGCACACCCACAATTCAACTGTTGGCATCCTAGATGCCACTCAAAGCCGGATCTTCCTCACCTAAAAATATCCACAAATCGTACGGTGAGAAAAGAAAACATCTATATATATAGCACATAAGAAAACACAACATATTATCTCATTATAACTTAATATTCATAAATATTTCAACATAACGTATTTCAATCAATCATGCATCGTCATCACATCATAATTCTCAATCACACCAATCATCACAAATCTTGCACTTCACACTATGCCAAGGTCACGCTACCCATTTAACAATCCAAGGCCGTGCTCACCCCTGATATAACACTGTGCCAAGGTCACGATTCCCCTGTAGCATATCTAGCCCAGGGTCGTGCTCACCCCCGACATGTTATTCAAGGTCACGATACCCACGTAACAATCCAAGGTCGTGCTCACCCCTGATATAACACTGTGCCAAGGTCACGTTACCCCTAACCTAGGGCCGTGCTCACCCCTGACATGTTAACCAAGGTCACGATACTCATGTAACAATCTCGGGCCGTGCTCACCCCTGGTCATAGGTGTGAAGAACCACAATCACATCACAATCCACACAATTCTTACAATTAACACTATGTCAAGGCCACGCCACAATTGACATAAGTGATACGTGTTAATTGTCTCACTCATCCCACATCATGCCAGGGTCACGCCCTCCCTGTAGCATCACTTACCCAGGGGCCGTGCCATCCCTGGTCATTGATGTGAGGTACCACAATCACAGTCATAATCATATCCACACAACATCCATCTCATATTTCAATTCCATGCATAATTTCATATTACATACACAACAGATAAGTCCAACAAAATAAGGGTTTACATATCCCTCAAACAATTCACATCTAAATCATCAATTTTCATCAAGTGATATAACAATAACATTCATAGATTAATATAATAATTAATGGAATTACCAATTTAATATAATATTAACATAAACGGTAAAATCCCCAATTATTCCAAAACCTAACTCACAGGAAATTTTCTACAATTTCGTTCTCCCTCTCAGATCATCATTCTTACAAATTAAATATATATTTTTAATCCTCAACACCTCCAGAGCGGTCCGTTTTGCTTCCAGAACGGCTCGTTCTCCAAACCAGAACGGCACGTTCTCCAAACCAGAACGGCCCGTTCTCCAATTGGAATGGCCCGTTCTGCCACTACATTTTTAGGCATTCATCCTATTCCGGAACGGCCTATTTCAATTTTGAAACGGCCCGTTCCGGGCCACGAATTGGGCCTTCGGCCCACGAAAAATGGGCTGTTACACCCACATTCTCAAGCGTGCCCGGCGCACTCATCATTGCGCCCCGACAGGCTCGTCCAAATGGAGTCTCCTGGTGGTCACGCGCCCGGCGCGAAGAACGGCGCTCGGCGCGAAGCTCAGCAGCAACTCACCAAGTTCTAAAATTTTCACCCAACCCTGCAAAAACAACCAGAAAACCAGCATGCAATTCATCCAAAAGTCCACATTTTCATCAAACATCAAGAAAAACACCTCATTTTCAACATGCAACTTCAAATCCAAGAAAAACCCAAATTTTCTTCAAAAACCCGAAAACCCCAAAATATGAGTTTTCATCCAAAATAGCTCAAAATCCTTGGAAATCTCAGAAATTCGTGAGTCCTAGCTCACTACAACACACAATCAACAAGAAGTCCTAGCTTCCCTTACCTCGGTACGACAATCCGAGCTTTGGGACTGCGGAGAACGAAAGAGAAGACGAAGAAGAGCTCGAACGAACAC